ACCAACGGGAACAACGGGAAGCACCCCCAGTGTCCGCCAATGGGAGAATGAAGTCATGGGTCATGGGAGGCTCACGCACTGGGTTGTGCAGTGATGGTGCAATGCTCCCCATGCCCCTGCACAGGATTATGGGCAGGATGTGCCATTCTATCAAGCTCAAGAACGAGCCCACTCAGCATTAGACCATTTAGGGGCACAGACATAAGTGGTCAACCTGAAAAAAAAGAGGGAATGACAAACACCAAATTCAGGCTAGCAATTACTTCCCGGAGGAGGCAGGAAAATGGAATTTGGGCGACATAGATTCCTGCCAAGGAACTGGAAGTGGTCTGTGAAGTCCAGGGTGGGATTATGAGGGCTCCTTTCATTGTGTACTTCATACACAAGTAACACATGTGCAAGACCCAGGTTACACATGTATGTGTAACATAGATGTCATTTATGGATCACATAGATATTACCCATATTTTGGTATGTGTCTAATATTATATTAAAACCATTTAAGAAGACATGGGGATGATGAGGGCCCAGAAAGTTTTTCATGAAGAAATGCTTTTACCCTAAAGATGAAGCCCCAAGATAGAAGGTGCTCGTTGCTGCTAACAGTTGGTAAATAACTCAGCTTAGATGTCACCTCGTGGTCAAAGCAGCCTCAGGTGGGTGTCCCTCTCTGTGCTTCCCTCCCAGCCCTGTGTCTCCCTCTTTTTTTTTTTTTTTTTAAAAGATTTTATTTATTCAGTTTTTCCCCCCAAAGCCCCAGTAGATAGTTGTATGTCATAGGTTCACATCCTTCTAGTTGCTGTACGTGGGACTCGGCCTCACGTTGGACCGAGAAGTGGTGCCTCGGGGCGCGCCCGGGATCCGAACCCGGGCCGCCAGCATCAGAGCGCGCGCACTTAACCGCTAAGCCACGGAGCCGGCCCTCTCCCTCTTTTGAACATCCATCACTCTGTCTCATGACCTGCTGTCCTGCGTCTCCTCTAGACCAGATTACGAAGTTGGGATGGGGGCTCTGAGTCTGACTCAGTGCCTGGCACATAGCAAGTGCTTCATCAAGCCTCAAGGGTCACCCTTCCAGGGACCTCAGGCAACTTAGGGAAGAATGAAAGCAGCCACAGATGAGTTTCTACCCAAAGGATGGAAGCGTTTCACCAGGAGACAGCTGGCCAGCAAGATCATGCTTGTGAGAAAGTCTTTGCCTTGAAACTTTATTTAGGGGTCAGCCCCATGGCATAGAGGTTGGGTTCGCATGCCCCGCTTCAGCGGCCTGGGGTTTGTGGGTTCCAATCCCAGGCACGGACCTACACACCACTTATCAAGCCATGCTGTGCCAGGGGCCGGCCCCATGGCGTAGGGGTTAAGTGCGTGCACTCCGCTGCTGGCAGCCCGGGTTTGGATCCCGGGCGCGCACCGACGCACCACTTGTCAGGCCATGCTGTAGCGGCATCCCATATAAAGTGGAGGAAGATAGGCACAGATGTTAGCCCAGGGCCAGTCTTCCTCAGCAAAAAGAGGAGGATTCCAACAGATGTTAGCTCAGGGCTGATCTTCCTGACAAAAGAAAAGCCATGCTGCGCCAGGCATCCCACATACAGAGGAAGATGGGTACAGATGTTAGCTCAAGGACAATCTTCCTCAGCAAAAAGAGGAAGACGGGCAACAGATGTTACCTCAGGGCCAATCGTCCTCACCAAAAATAACCCACCAAACTTTATTTAAATGGTGCCCTTTGTGTTCCTAAGTTTGCCCATGGCCATTAGCTCCTCTTGTCACTCTGTGTCACGGCTCTCCTGGCCCCTGGGGCCTCCGTCCCTTCCCTTGACAGCTTCCACTCCTGCGGCACCGTTATAGAACTTTCCTTCCAAAAGGTGTTCCCCGCGGGTCTGTCCTGGGCCTGGAGGACTTCGCCCACGCTGTGGTGCCGTTTGGGGTCCTCATTTCTTTTCCTACAGGGCAGCGGGCCCAAGCAGGCTCTCCAGGAGTTCGGTAAGTGACTGAATGACTGACTGAGGGAATGCCACTGAGCCTCAGGGCTGTGACAAGAGCAAGAGCAAACCAAGGGAAGGACTTGAGCACGCGGTGGACCAGTACCTCCTTTCCCCACCCACTGGCTGCCTCGGTTCCAACTTCTCACTTGAAATACTCCCAGGACAGGGCTGGCTCAGTGGCACAGTGATTAAGTGCGTGTGCTCCGCTGCAGAGGCCTGGGGTTCGCAGGTTCGAATCCAGGGTGTGCACCTATGCAGCGCTTGTCAGGCCATGCTGTGGCGGCGTCCCATATAAAGTGAAGGAATATGGGCATGGATGTTAGCTCAGGGCCAGTCTTTCTCAGCAAAAAGAGGAGGATTGGCATTGGATGTTACCTCAGGGCTGATCTTCCTCACACACACACACACACACACAAATAGTCCCAGGGCTTCTGCACCCATCCCACCACCACACCACCCAGTCAAACCTCAGTCCCAGACCAACATTGAGACACCGACCTCTGCAGTCTCTTTGGCCCTCTTTCTGCCTCTCCATTACCCTGGCCAACCCCTGTCATCTGTCTCCCAGATGACAGTAACAGCCTCCTGCTGGTCTCACTCTTATCCCCGCTCATCTGCTCTGCTCACCACAGCCAGATTGGCCTTTAAAATACAAGTCAGATTATGGCACTAGGGCTTCAAACTCCTCCAGGGCTTTGGGGGATACAGGAAGCTTCAGCACAAACCTCTCCCATCAGCTGGCCTAGACACTGCCACTTGGGGACCCTACAAACATCTGGAACTTAACTGTCCCCAACTGACTTCATCTCCTAGTCCCCAACTGAGAGAGACCCAAGAGCCACCTTCAGCCACTGTCTTCCTCAACCATGTCCTGTCAAGCCCACCTCCTCTCTCCAGCTCAACTGCCACTGTCCTAGTCCAAGCCACACTTGTGACAAACAAAACATGACTACAATCTCATAAGCCATTTCTCTGACAAGCTGAGGTGATCAATGGGCTGTCAGCGACACGGGGCTAGGTGGGAGTCATTGTGTACACAGTGTGGTGGCTCCCAGCATGTAGCCCCTCCTTCTGGTGTGCCTTTCTGCACTGCATCGAGGGCTCTGCATGCAGACTGAATTCTGCCAATGAGAGACACAGCCCTGGGGATGTTGGTTTTCTTCAGCAGCCTTCTGGTTGAAGTCACAAACATTCTGTTGTTTGAGGGGCAGGGGTGGCAGCAACAGTGGCTAGGCACAGTGTCCCAGCGTCCAGTCATGAGTGCCCAACTTTTTGCAAGTATAAATGGTGCCGCAATGGCCCTCTTTGTACGTGCATCTTGTGCTCAGCTGAGTATTTCTGTTGAATGGATCCCTAAGAGGGCAGTTTCTTGGTTAAAGGTCATACACATTTTACAGTTTGTTAGATTCTGCCAAATTATCCTTCAGAAAGGTTCTACCAATTGATACCCTCACCACTGTGTAGGTGAGACTCTATTTCCTAACATCCTTGCCAACAATGGGCATAATCAAACTTTCTTCTCCCCATATTTTTATTATGGAAAATGTCAAATACATAGTGTATGAGTTTCCCAGGGCTGCTGTAAGAGATTACCACAAGTTTGCAGACTTAAAACAACACCAATTTATTCTTTCCCAGTTCTGGAGGCTGGAAGTCCAAAATCAAGGTGTCAATAGGGCGGTGCTCCCTCTGAAGGCCCTAGGGAGGAAACTTTCCTTGCCTCTTCCAGCCTCTGGTGGCTCCCAGTGTTCCTTGGTTTGCAGCGGTATCACTCTAATCTGTCTCCTGTCTCCATCGTCAATTGGCCTTCTTCCCAGTGTGTCTGTGTCCAAATTTTCCTCTTCTCATAAGGACACCAGTTATTGGATTTAGGGCCATTCCAAATCTGGCATGACTTTATCATGATCACATCTGCAAAGATTATTTCCAAGTAAGGTCACATTTACAAGTTCTGGATGGACATGAACTTTCGGGGGACATCATTCAACCCAGTACATATAGCAAGGTCACAAAAAGCTTACAGTGAGCACTCATATACCCATCCCCTTAATTTTGCCACTCACATGTTAGTGTCATTGCTTTATCACACACCTATCTCGGTACCCACACCTCTCTCCATTTTATTTTTGGTGCATTTCAAACTAAATTGCAGACATCAGTTCACTTCCTCTTAAATAAATCGGTGTATATATCCTTAACAAGAATTCCATATTTGGTTGTTGGGTTTTTTGTTTTTTGCTAATGGTCACCAATCTAAGAAATCAAAAAATGGCACAGAAAAAGATGAAAAGTCCCCCAATTCGTCTGAGGCAGCGTCTCCCATCTTCTGACTCTAGCTGTGACTCTGTCTCTTTCCTCTCTTTAAGGCAAACTTCGAGAAAGGACAATCCTGCACCGTGTCTCCACTTCCTCACATTGACATCGCTCTTGCCAAGTCTCCAGTTGTTGCTAAGTCCAAGAAACAGTTTTCAGTCCTCATCTTTCCTGCTTCTAGGCAGCAGCTGACACTGACATGTTAATCACGGTGTCCTTGAAAGCACGCTTCTCCCTGGGTTTTCCCCTCTTCTTTGATGCTCCTCCTTCCTGCCCACTGTAAGTGCTGGTGTTCCTCTGCACGCTATCCCGGGCCCTCTTCCCTCCTCACCTGTATCAGGCAGGGTCAATCTGCAGGAAAAAGGAACCACTCTCGAAATTTTAAGCAGAGAGATTAAAACAGGGAGGGGCGAAGCCGTGCGTGTGGGGACCTGTGGAGCTGAGCCGGCGCCGGCCCCGCCCCGCCCGTCCTGCGGGGTTGCAGCTGGCGGTGTCGGCTGGCGGGCAGAGGGAGCCGGCCGCGCTCGGCCCCGCCCCCTTTCCTACTTGGAGCGTGCGCGCCTGTAGACACGTAGAGCCAACCAGTGAAAACGAGAGGTTGTGAGTGGCATGCGCTTTGTCCAGTCACCTGCGGTCCTGGCGAGCAGGCCTGCGCCCAGACCAATGGCGGTGCGGGGTGGAGCTCGGGCGGCCGACGGTCACCTGATCGGCGGCGGCAGTGGTGGCCAAGGCAGTGGAGGCCGAGGCTATGATGGCGGCGACAGCGGCGGCTCGGCTGCGGGTGGGGATGCGGCGGGTTGCAGTCCTCTGGCAGATGCGGTGGCTGCCGCTGTTGCTGGTGGCGTTGGCGGCGGCGGCGGAGCAGCAGGTGCCGCTGGTGCTGTGGTCTAGTGACCGGTGAGTGGGGCGGGCCGGGTCGCGGCGGGCTGCGCGCCAAGGCGGCTGAGGTGCCCTCGCCCGACTCCGGGGGTATCCTCGGCGAGGGCCGGCGAGCCCCAGAGGGGGACTGTCCCTTGCTCGGCCGTCCATAGCGAGTCGGCTCCGGGTCAGAGCTCCAGGACCCTCGCTTAAAGCTGGGAGCCCATGGGCCTCGAATTTCGAGCCATGCACGCCTGCTTGACAGCATTTCTTTTGTCCCCTGCCAGAGGCTTGTGGGCTCCTGCTGCCGACACCCACGAGGGCCATATCACCAGCGACATGCAGCTCTCTACCTACTTAGACCCCGCCCTGGAGCTGGGCCCCCGAAATGTGCTGCTCTTCCTGCAGGACAAGGTGCGCCCGCCCCAGCCCTCTCCCCCTCGGTCATCAGGAGGCAGGCAGGCCCCCTCCCCCTAGGATACTGAGGCCCATTCCCCAAGTGACCTTGTCCCACCTGTTAGGGAGGTGTGGCGCCTCTCTTGGGAAGGCCTATAGGAGAAGGTTCAGTGGAAATGATGAGGGCCAGGAAATGGCACCCACTTGATCGGGGGTAGCAAGGAGTCAGAGGCCAGATGCCTACTGAGTACCAAGCACTTACTTATCTGACCTACTCTACATGGTGGGGATTATTGACCCTGTTTACAGATGGGAAGACTGATGCCCAAGGAGGGTAAATGGCTTACCCAAGGTCACACAGCTAATGGCAGAGTTGTGATTCTAACTGTAATGATCGTGATGGAGATAATAAAAAAATCATCCTTTATTGTTTCATATGTCCAGTGCTAAGCTGATGTCATTATGTTCATTATTACTGCAACTGCTTCCAGCCTGGGGCTGTCAGACCCCCCAGTTTGTGCTCATAACAGGCACACTGTTTTCCCTCCCATCCAGGTCTCTCTGCCCCCAAAACAGGCCCATAGACCATGAGAAGATTCTAGGGCAGCGTAAGATTTGCGTTCGGGAGGTTATTGAGCCTCTGCTTGCCCCTTCCTCATTGGTGGCCTGTATAGCTCATTCCTCTGTTGATCTTGCTTCATTGCTCTGTGGGCAGGTGCAGTCATGCTGGCCTGTAATCCTTCCAGAAGGTGGTAAATCATGTAGTCAGACTGGAACTCGGTTCTAGTTCTACTACTTACCCACCTTTGGATATGTGAAATAATCTGCAAATGCCAGTTTCTGCATCTGTAAAATGAAGACACCACCTCCATCAGAGGGCTGGGAAGAGCAATTCTTATAATCCACGTAAAACATCTAGCTGGGGTCCTCCTGTCTTATGGCATTCATCCACTCATTCATTTGCCAAATATGGACCGCCTACTATGTACCTGGTAGTAAGTTTGGCAACACAGCGGTGAGCAGAATAACCTCAGGCCCTGCCCTGAGGAAGCTGACATTCTCGTGAGGGGGACAGGGAAATGCTAAGTTGGTAGATGATATAACGTCTGTGCTATAGTCCTTAGAGAAGAAGGAAGAAGACTAAGGGCACAGAGTGACTGGCAGTGCTGTTTAAGATAAGGGTGACAGGCAAGGGCTCACTGAGGAGATGAACCCTGAGCAGAGACCTAAAGGGAGGGAGGGATGGAGCCATGTGGCTGGGGGTGGGAGGGTGTTCATGGCAGAGTAAACAGCAGGTGCAAAAGCCCTGGGCAAGGAGTGCTCTTGGTGAGCCCACGGAAGAGCTGGTATGGCTGGAGTGTAATGAGTGAGAGAAAGGGGCAGGAGATGGTCAGCCATGTAGCCAGGAAATGAGGGGGAAAAGCTTGGTTGCAGTTCTAAATATGGCAGGAAGCCTTGGGTGATTTCGAGCAGGGAGTGCCATGAGGACACAGTGGCGGTTCCTAGGCTTTCCAAATGAGAACCCAGGTGGCCAGACAGTGGCCAGACAGCGTCAGGGTTCCTACCCAGAAGGGAGAGGAGAGTGGGCAAGTGTGTATACTAAACAGAATGAGGTTAGGGAAGCTGATTAAGATTGCCTCTGGACTTAACTGGGAAAAGCCAGAGGAAGCTGAGTTGGGGTGGAGGGGCAGGAGTTGAAGGACATCTCTAGGTTGTAGAGGAAAAGGGACGGGGTTGGGGTTACTGTGGTCTGGAGAGCTCAGACTTCAGTGCTTTCTCCAGCATGTTCTGAGATCTGCACCTCTCTCTCCCCTTCCACTAAAACCAGGTGGGGAGGGGGACCCCTCACCCTCCTTTGAAAAGGGTCCCGTAGGCAGCTTTAGCTGTTGCAGCTGGCATGCAGGTTCTCCTTTTCTCCTACCATCGTGGGGGCATGTTGTAAATGCTCCTGGCTGTCCACCCTCCCCCCAGCTTCCCTCTTCCCTGCTCAGTTCCTCTTGTCTGCAGGCAGGCGGCTGACTCTTACCCCTGAGGTTACCCCACGTCAGCTGACTGCCTTCTGTGTTTTCTCACCCTGCCGGGAGGGTGCTGACTGAAAAAAGAGAACCTTCCATCACCCCCCTAACCGCGCCCTTGGTCACTCTTTTGACCAGACCAAATCTGACTCGAAATGAGATTTTGCTGGCCCTGCAAATGCACAGGGAAGGTGTCTGCCCCCTGCCCTGGCCCAACGTTCTGAGGCCCTCTTCCCTGCTTCCCTCCTAGCTGAGCATTGAGGACTTCACGGCGCACGGTGGCGTGTTTGGGAATAAGCAGGACAGTGCCTTTTCTAACCTGGAGGTAAGAGTCCTCTCCCAGCCACAGGCCCTGAGAGCCGTCCTGTGCCCCTCCCCCAGCGCAGTAAGAACTGTCCCCTTAGGAACCAGAGGCTGGCCTTGGAGGTAGCAAGGGGCCAGGGGTGTGGGGCCTTTTCTTTCTGACCTGGAATGAGACCCCTGTGTAGGTCAGGGTGTGGCTTGCCAGAGGAGGACTGCCAGAGAGGTTTGGGGGGTTGGCCCAGGCCCACTGGTCCCTTGCCAACTCATCCTCCTGCCTCTCCCCTGTCCCCAGAATGCCCTGGACCTGGCCCCCTCTTCTCTGGTGCTTCCTGCTGTCGACTGGTATGCGGTCAGTACTCTGACCACTTATCTGCAGGAGAAGCTTGGAGCCAGCCCCCTGCATGTGGACTTGGCCACCCTGCGGGAGCTGAAGCTCAATGCCAGCCTCCCGGCCTTGTTGCTCATCCGCCTGCCCTACACAGCCAGGTATGGCCCAGCCTTCAGCCTTGGGGCCCAGAGAGCAGTAAGACCCTGGGCTCTGGGCTCTGGTAGCACAACTCAGCCAAAGATGATAGTCTTCCCGTTCAGCACCTTGAAGCCTTTCCAGAAGGTGCCCTGTATGGCCAGAAGAGGTGGGAAGGGCCTCCGGCCGGGCTTTGACTCAGGAGTTGGTGCCTGGCACTGAGCTAGGCCTGTCAGGCTTCCAGAGACGAGGCAGAAGTGGGCCCTGCTGGTGGGGAGCCAAGTCGCCTAGCCGGGACCCTTTCATGGAGCAGGTGGCAGGGCCTTGAGTGGGACTGTGAAGTCAGGGGAGAAGGGGCAAGGGATTCCAGGCAGGGCAATGAGGTGAGCAAAGGTGCAGAGGGAGGAGTGAGCACGGCTCCCAGAGCCCATGCTAGAGTGTGCCTGGTGAGTGGGGCTGGTGGGAAAGGATGGCAGCCTGGGGTGGGGGACAGCTGTTTGGGTTGCAGGGGCTCAACCGCTCTGTGTCTTCCATAGCTCAGGTCTGATGGCGCCGAGGGAGGTCCTCACAGGCAATGGTGAGTGAGGTCAGGGAGGGTGCACATTTTCTGTCCTCCTCCAGCCCTGGGCCCCAGAAAGCTGGTCTGCAGCTCCTCAGCCCCTCCTCACTCCCGGGGCAGTCCCCTTGCTTCGGAGCACCTGGCAGCTGAGCAGGGAAATGCTGGCCCCCAGACCTCACCCTTCTCCAGCTGGGCCCTGCCTGGCAGAGGAGTCAAGACATCTAGGGGCCTCCATGCCACTTTCCACTCAGGCAGCGTGAATCCTAGAGTTTCTATAAAGGACAGTCACCCCCATGCAAACGTCTTGTGAACCTTCCACAGGTGGATTTGGAGTTTTCTCTCTCTATTTTGTTCCACTTAATTAGGGCTTGGCATCAGGGAGTCGACGACTGAGGCCACAGATGTCCAGGAGGAGGCTGGGGGTAGGTGGGATAAGAAGCAGCTACTGTTAGGGATCCTCACTGGAAACTGAACACTAGTGAAGGTTGATGGGAGCTGGCTCTGCAAGGGTCTCAGTGTCCCACCATAGAGGACATGCCAGTTGCCAGAGGTGGGGGGACTTCACAGTGCAGATGCCTGGTGGTCCCCACCTCAACGAGGTGATCTCACTGAACGCCATCAAGAGGGGGCACTGATGTGGCGTGTGGAAGGGCACGGTCTTGCCTCTGCTGGCTTCTGCTGTGCAACAATGGTCAGACGGGTTCTAACAGGCGTGGGGAGCATTGCTGTAAGTGCCGCCGGTGACCTGGTTCTCTGCTCTCCCCGTTGTCCCTCAGATGAGGTCATTGGGCAGGTACTGAGCATGCTCAAGTCCGAAGATGTCCCATACACAGCAGCCCTCACAGCACTCCGCCCTTCCAGGGTATGTGCCTCTCCTCAGGGGCTCTGGGAGGTGTGGGCAGAGGCCGCGTGGTGAGTTGGCCTGGAGGGGGGATGACTTCAAGCAGAGTGTGGAGCGCATTGGGGAGGCCAGATTCTCCCCTGGGCCAATATGGGGGGGGATGGGGGTGAACAGTAAAGTCCTCCTTCCTTCTTCTAGGCAGCAGGTTTCTGTTTTGCCCTGTCAGTCTTACGGGCTGGCATACGTAGGCAACAGTCCAAGTATTCCTAAGTTTGAGGGACTAGGATTCTCACAAAAGCTTAGGGGCCAGCTGGGGAAAGCTTCCTGGAGGAAAGGCCTCCAAATATGACCCTTGGGACTGCAGATGGTGGAGAGGGTGCCCAGTGGAGACAGTGAGGGCAGACCCACTTGGTCTGGGGCCTGCTCCCAGGGCTGTTGAGAGAAGGCTTGTGGACTGTTTCTGCAGGTGGCCCGCGATGTAGCCATGGTGGCTGGTGGGCTAGGTCGCCAGCTGTTGCAAAAACAGCCAGCATCGTCTGTGATCCATCCTCCTGTGAGTTACAATGACACCGCCCCCCGGATCCTGTTCTGGGCCCAAAACTTCTCGGTGGCATACGGGGACCACTGGGAGGACCTGACCTCCCTCACGTTTGGGGTCCAGGAGCTCAACCTGACCGGCTCCTTCTGGAATGATTCCGTTGCCAAGTAAGGGCAAAGTACCTGCCACTGCAGGGGTGGGGTGTGTGTTGGGGGGCATGTTCACTGTGGGGATGTAGGTGGTATCATGGGATGGGGCTGATGGAGGGCTCTTGGAGTGGGGCATGCTCAGATTTCTGCCTCCCAGTGCCCTCTAGTCCTTGACTGGGACCTTGGTTGTTAACACTTCCCAATCACCTGGGGACCTGACGCCTCCCCCTTGAGCAACATCAAGGCGACTGCACAAGGGCGCGTACCAGGCCTAAACCAGCTCTGGGGCTCCTGTATCCTTCCTGTGTGATAAGAGAGACTGCCCTTACCCCCCACAGCCCAACCTGGGCACCTCAGTGACTCCAGGAGGGAGCTGAAAGGAGAGTCACTGGGCTCAAGGGAGCCCGAGGAAGGAGCCCTCAGCTGCAGGTGGGGGACGTGCATACTGGTTCCTGACTTAGAATGTGTCAGAGCCTGAGTTTTCCCATCTGTCAAGTGGGGTTGCTGTCTCTTCAGGTGGCTGTGAGACCCCAGGGCAGCTTAGGTAGGAGTAGATCTGAGGAACTTGCTCTGAGACATTCAAGGCCCTCCCAGAGCCTGACAACTTGCCTCTTACTCTGGCTCTGCAGGCTCTCGCTGACCTACGAACACCTCTTTGGTACCACAGTGACATTCAAGTGAGTCTGAGGGGTGGCTGAGGTGTGGGCGCGCTGGTGTGGCCCCAGCCTCCCCAGCTGCGTGACACCCCGTGGCCTCCCTCAGGTTTATTCTGGCTAACCGCTTCTACTCGGTGTCCGCCCGGCACTGGTTTACCATGGAGCACCTTGAGATCCACAGCAACGGCTCCATTGTCTCCTTCAATGCCTCCCGGGTCACGGGGCCCAGCATCTACTCCTTCCACTGCGAGTATGTCAGCACTTGGAGCAAGAACGGCAATATCCTTGTGCCCCGCATGCAGCCCTCTCTCTGGCAAATCACGCTTCAGGACTTCCAGGTAGGGAGCGGGGAGCACCGAGGGACTGAGCCTCGAGTCCGCAATCCCAGGCTGGAGCTCACAGGATACTGGGAGAGGGGGGAGGGAACAGAGGCCTGAAGAGTCCCAGCATCCTTTGAGTTTGGGTTTGGGCTCAGGAATGTAGTTGAGAGTCCCGTCCCCACGGTGCTCCCATCTCATGAGATCTAGACTACCCACTCACTCGGGAATCCTGGCCCTTACTGGGCCTCCCTCTGTGTGGGGCTACATGGTTCTTTCTGTGCCCCAGATCCAGGCCTTCAGTGTGACAGGTGAGCAGTTCTCCTACGCCAGTGACTGTGCCGGCTTCTTCTCTCCTGGCATCTGGATGGGGCTGCTCACCTCCCTTTTCATGCTCTTCATCTTCACCTATGGCCTGCACATGATCCTCAGCCTCAAGACCATGGACCGCTTTGATGACCACAAGGGCCCCACCATCTCTTTGACCCAGATTGTGTGACCCTGTGCCCATGGGGGGTTGAGGGCATGATGTGTCCAGGTTGTTGCTTTCCCACCCTGAGGCATGCTGGACTGAAGGGCTTCCCCTCTTCCTACCATAGTGTGAACCCACAGCTCCCCTCAGTCTGTCTTGCTCCCTGTTCAACTGAGGGGCTTTCCTGGGGCTGCCCACCCTCCATCTCTACCAAGAAGATGTATATATTCTGCATTGCTAGTAGAAAAATCTCCCAGGTTTGGGCATTGTGAGGGGAGGGGACCTGAGTTCTAGGGCCCCTCCTCCTCCCCCTTTCTCCTTATTTATTCTCATCTCTCTGCCTTCACCCCTTGCTGTTTATAGTGCTTTTGTGGCCAGTGCTCCCTCCCCAGGCTTTATGGGGCTCCCTGCAGCGGCCAGGAGCTGGAGGTTCCCTAAGTTTGGGGGTGCTGAAGTACTATTTAGCTGTCTGTCCCACTTGGCTGGTGTTATTGTTTTTTGGTGATGTTGTGCTAACAATAAACAGTACACTGGGGTTTATTTCTGTGGCCTGATAAGGAAGGGTCCTCCACGGCAGGTGGGCTGGGTATGATCACTGGGTTTCTGGCATGTTGCGGCCAGGAGTGCCTGGCAGGAGCCTGGGGTACTCGGTGGTTTCCTTCCTAATAAAATAAAGACGGGTCGCCATGCGTGGGCCTCTTGTCACTCATTTCTGCACTGGGCACGAGGGATGAGCTTGGCTTAGGGCTGCGGGAGGAGGCGCCCGGATGTAGCTGTAGCTGAGCCAGGCCAAGGGGGAGGCGGGAAGGACTCCAAGTTCCCCTGTGGGCTGCCTCTCCCGGAGCCAGGGGAGACCTAGAGGGTCTTTAGCAAGCTGGGCCCCTCACCGGCTAGGGTAGGGAGAGTGCCGTGGCGCGGCGGCGATCAGCGCCTGAGGGAGTCGGCCGCTACAAAGGCTGCCCTCACGTCCCGAAGGGGTCGCCCTCGGCTGCCGCAGCGGCGCGCGCCCAGCCCGCGGGAACGCGCCGAGCCTCCCGGGGGGCGG